CCCCGCGGCCCGGTCCTCGACCAGGCCTCCAACCCCAGGAAGCAGCCCGTGACAGCTGACTAACTCCCGGGTACCTATTTACTGCTAGGTAACAGGGGTATAGGGTGAAGAAACTTTGCCCTTTGTTTCTGCCTCGTGCGGGAATCGAACCCGCGCCACAGAATTACGAGTCCTGCGCGCTGTCTCATCAACGTGCAAGTAATGCACAGAAAACTCAGGTCTACTAAGGACATTCGGCAAGACGAATTCCAGGTTGTAATACCGGGCAGCTGGTAAGTTTAATCCAAGTTACATACGCAGTTAGGAAGTAAATTTGATCCATAATGTGGAGCAGAGTTATAAGTTAACCTAGATGCATAATGCAAGAGGAAATGTAGCAGTAATGGGGAGCAGTAGTGAGGCAGTGTAGACTAACTTGCCCAGGTACCCAGGAAGGCTCCATACCAGGTAGTCAAGTAGTTAGGTCTTGGACTGTGGCCCCACACCAGTAGTCAGGTCTTGGACTGTGGCCCCACACCAGTAGTCAGGTCTTGGACTGTGGCCCCACACCAGTAGTCAGGTCTTGGACTGTGACCCCCACACCAGGTAGTTAGGTCTTGGACTGTGACCCCCACACCAGGTAGTCAGGTCTTGGACTGTGGCCCCCACACCAAGTAGTCAGGTCTTGGACTGTGACCCCCACACCAGGTAGTCAGGTCTTGGACTGTGACCCCCACACCAGGTAGTCAGGTCTTGGACTGTGACCCCCACACTCCAGGTAGTCAGGTCTTGGACTGTGACCCCCACACTCCAGGTAGTCAGGTCTTGGACTGTGACCCCACACCAGGTAGTCAGGTCTTGGACTGTGACCCACACTCCCCCGCTCCACAACCACCAACCACAGATGAAAGACACCCTAAGCGCTCCATCTCTCCTAGGGACGAAGAATGGAGTGGTACGTAGCAAATCCTGGGGCGTGGGAAGAAGCACGCGCGTGTGAATTCATCAAGTTGTGCTTGCGGGGGTTGAGCTCTGCTCTTTCAGCCCGTCTCTCAACTGTCAATTCACTGGTGTACAGATTCATGAGCCTACTGGGCTCTGTCATATCTACATTTGAAACTGTGTATGGAGTCAGTGTGTGTGTGTGTGTGTGTGTGTGTGTGTGTGTGTGTGTGTGTGTGTGTGTGTGTGTGTGTGTGTGTGTGTGTGTATTCGCCTATTTGTGTTTGCGGGGGTTGAGCTTTGCTCTTTCGGACCGCCTCTCAACTGTCAATCAACTGTTTACTAACTACTTTTTTTCCCACACCAAACACACACACACACACACCCCAGGAAGCATCCCGTGACAGCTGACTAACTCCCAGGTACCTATTTACTGCTAGGTAACAGGGGACATTCAGGGTGAAAGAAACTTTGCCCATTTGTTTCTGCCTCGTGCGGGAATCCTACCCGCGCCAAAGAATTACGAATCCTGCGCGCTATCCACCAGGCTACGAGGCCCCTACACTGTGTGTGTGTGTGTGCAATTCGTTCCTTCCCTCTCACCCCTTCACCAACACCTCTGTGGTGCCTGGGTCATCCCAGGCACCACAACTGCCATGGTTAATGGTGTGTTCAAACAAGGCAATCAGACGGGTATTGACGTGGTGTTTTCCAGTTGGTTTCCATCAGCTCTTTTACACGATGATTCGAAACCCAAACCCCGATCTTACAATGACCGAGAATTATCGGTTTATCGGAATCTCAGACATTACGAAAGAAGTTCCCGACAATAAATGGAATAGATTAAATGAGTTATCGATACAAAATCATACACAATCCTCAAAGTATATATGATAGGAAAACAGTTAAGAGTTAACTTATTAACTTACTGATGGTTGAAGATGATACTTAGAAGCGAATGCTCGACCTTCCAAGCACATCTAGGGTAAGTACATACGTGTGTACATGCACGCACGCACCCACGTCACGGGTGTGCTCGCGGCCTTGCACTCAACACACACAAACACACACACACACGCACGCAGTCCCTGAAGGAGCAGTGGTAACACACTCCCTCCCTACATCTCGCCAGTGATTGGAAAGGTGATGTTACAAGTTCTAAGGAGGAGCTTCTTCATATGGGCCAATAGACCTTCTGCAAATCCTTTATTGCAACCCAACCTATTCCTGTTCAGATAGTACCTATTGTGAGTCAACAACAGTCACGAATTCCAACGTACTTAGCTTTTGCATATTAGTATACTGATTAGTAAGAAATTCTTAAAATAAAAATAGTAATTTAAGTAAAAATTTAAACAAAAATCATATTTAAGTAAATTTAAGTACTAAGAAAACAGGCAGATGGGCTGTTCTTGTTATTGTTTTAAGGAAGAATGAAAGATTCCATACATAGCTTTATATGTAGTCATGACAGAGCCCAGAAGGCTGAAGAGCCTGTACACCAGTCGACTAAAGGCTGAAGAACCTGTACACCAGTCGACTAAAGGCTGAAGAACCTGTACACCAGTCGACTAAAGGCTGAAGAACCTGTACACCAGTCGACTAAAGGCTGAAGAACCTGTACACCAGTCGACTAAAGGCTGAAGAACCTGTACACCAGTCGACTAAAGGCTGAAGAACCTGTACACCAGTCGACAAAAGGCTGAAGAACCTGTACACCAGTCGACTAAAGGCTGAAGAACCTGTACACCAGTCGACTAAAGGCTGAAGAACCTGTACACCAGTCGACTAAAGGCTGAAGCAGAGTCAACGCTGGAGCCGAACCCTCCTCCCCACCCTTGCCCACAAGTACAATTAGTCGAGTACACACGTGCCTGCCTGAGTGTCCATGAAGAGAAAATGTGAGGTTTTGGTAAAGCTGTTTACTCTACGAGAGGGGGGAGGGGGGGGGGGGGAGCTGTTCCACCTGTTCAGGGATGGACCTCATCCTCCTCCCTCCCTCTTAACTCTCACTGATATTTATCCTCCTTCTATTCCATAACCCTGCCCCTTTAATCCCGGATGTCTGTTTATATTTACTAAATCTTTTCCCTATTTTCTCCGTTTACCTTCCCTCTTCCTTTCATTCTGTTGACTAGTTTCTTCCCGGGGGTGTGTGAGTGAGGCGTGTGTGTGTGTGTGTGTGTGTGTGTGTGTGTGTGTGTGTGTGTGTGTGTGTGTGTGTGTGTGTGTGTGTGTGTGTGTGTGTGTGAGTGTGTGTGAGAGTGAGTGTGTGTGAGAGTGTGTGTGTGTATGTGAGTGTGTGTGTGTGTGTGTGTGTGTGTGTGTGTGTGTGTGTGTGTGTGTGTGTGTGTGTGTGTGTGTGTGTGTGTGTGTGTGTGTGTCATCATCATCTCCCACCACCCTCACCGTCAGCGTCAACAGTCATGGATGCTCCAGGCTGACCCCTGGAGCATCCATGACTGTTCTCAGGGGTCAGCCTGAGAGCAGTCATCACCAGGAGTCATTGCTCTCAGCACCTCACCTCAGCACCTCACCTCAGCACCTCACCTCAGCACCCAATATTCACGGGGAATGGTTCGGTCCTCGGGTGTGGCCCACGCAGGTCCTGCTCCTGGAGCTGATGACCAGCACATGCAAGAAGGATTACGCGAAGTCATGCAGCAGTAAATAGGTACCTGGGTGTTAGTCAGCTGTCACGGGCTGCTTCCTGGAGGTGGAGGCCTGGTCGAGGACAGGGCCGCGGGGACACTAAAGCCCCGAAATCATCTCAAGATAACCTCAAGTTGTTAAAAGGGTGCACTTCCATGCCTGACCTTGCGAGTGCTCCAACGCCTCCAACTAATAGGTCGTAATAATGATGATAAACGTTACAAATACAACCTACTATTGAAGAGTAATAGGTCACATATATCTACGTTTTCTATGCATCCGACTCGATAGGTAATGAAGGTTGTTTCTGGTTAGATTAGGAACTAACACTTTTTACATAGTGGTAAATCAAGTGAAGGGCTTGAAGGGAAGTGTTCTCAGCACTCGCTGTTCTGGGGCCATATTCACGAAAGCACTTACGCAAGCACTTACGAACGTTTACGTCTTTCCTCAATCTTTGACGGCTTTGGTTACATTTATTAAATAGTTTACGAGCATGAAAACTTCCCATTTAACTGTTGGTATTGTTATAAACAGCCTCCTGGTGCTTCGGAGCTCATTAACTGTTTAATAATTGGAAACAAAGCTGCCAAAGATTTAGAAAAGATGTACAGATTCGTAAGTGCTTTTGTGAATCTGGCCCCTGGACCCGTGAGACATGGTTATAAACATCGACTGTGATAATCTTTGCAAATGTTTGGTCTGTTCATTTGGTTACATTCTTCAGTGTCGGCTATCATAATATTATAATCACTAAAGCCTGTATTCCGACGCCTTGCAGTGTTACCTCACATAGTGAGTCTTGGTCTTCTTCATCAGTTCCACAAGACAGGTAAAGCCTGCCGCCAGCCTGCTGGTAACTTGGTCGTCGTGGGGAAAATTTCGACACCTCCATATCCAGATGTGTTAGCTGTTATTGTTAGCTGTGTTAAGTGTTATTGCTGACTCTCTGTAATTACCTTACTAAACTCTCAAGTGTGATGCGTCGTGATAAGATTACCGCCTCCCCCTTCTCTCTACCTCACCTCTCTTAGCCACTCCCTCTCTTAGTGTATTGTGTTTTTATTCCGTTTCTCCTCCCTCCCTCTCTCTTATTCGTTCATTCACTCTTTGCCCCGTCCATTCCCAAATTTTCTTCACCTCCTCGCAGCTTGTCATCTTAACTTTTCATGTTTACTTCACCTCTCACCAGTCGCCTCTTCACCTCTCTTTCACTTCTCAACTCTACGTTCACTGTTCACTTTCTTTATTTCCGATTTCGACTCTACCCGTCTTCTACATACCTGCCCTCCTGTTCCGTTACCTCTTATTTATTTCTTCCTCTAGATTTTCACTATATTTTGTTTTCGTGCCTCTAAGTAATTTTTCCACCTTTCTTCGCATCTCACACCTCTTCACCGTTCCTGAAAAGCCAACCTCTTTCATACCTGCTCTTCCACGTAGCGTCTTGTACACGTCTCCAAGACCACATGACCTCTCCCCTAACCACGCCATCCATACCTCTCTCTCAAAACCCCTGTAGCCCTATTGTCAACCACCCCCATCCCCCCTACATACCATCTCCCTTTCCCACTGCCTTCCATCCCCCCTACATACCATCTACCTTTCCCACTGCCTTCCAATAAACCCTCTTTCTTCCCCCCCCCCCCTCTCTACCTATTTTCCGTGCCTTGTTCTCCCGCCTCACTTGTGTATGTACAGGTTGTAAATACTTCCTTGTGAACAGTAGAGAGAGTGGATACATCTGTGACGTCACGCACTCACCAACGGCAGCCCAAGAGCACCAAGAAAGCAAACAATTGAAAAGGGAAACCGGGTAGACCCGATGAGCCTCCAACAAGAGGGAGAAGAGGTCGGGGAGGAGCGAGGACGCACCAACAAGAGGGAGAAGAGGCCGGGGAGGAGCGAGGACGCACCAACAAGAGGGAGAAGAGGTCGGGGAGGAGCGAGGACGCACCAACAAGAGGCACAAGAGGTCGGGGAGGAGCGAGGACGCACCAACAAGAGGCACAAGAGGTCGGGGAGGAGCGAGGACGCACCAACAAGAGGGAGAAGAGGTCGGGGAGGAGCGAGGACGCACCAACAAGAGGCACAAGAGGTCGGGGAGGAGCGAGGACGCACCAACAAGAGGGAGAAGAGGTCGGGGAGGAGCGAGGACGCACCAACAAGAGCAAGAAGAGGTCGGGGAGGAGCGAGGACGCACCAACAAGAGGCACAAGAGGTCGGGGAGGAGCGAGGACGCACCAACAAGAGGCACAAGAGGTCGGGGAGGAGCGAGGACGCACCAACAAGAGGGAGAAGAGGTCGGGGAGGAGCGAGGACGCACCAACAAGAGGCACAAGAGGTCGGGGAGGAGCGAGGACGCACCAACAAGAGGGAGAAGAGGTCGGGGAGGAGCGAGGACACTCCAACAAGAGGGAGAAGAGGTCGGGGAGGAGCGAGGACGCACCAACAAGAGGCACAAGAGGTCGGGGAGGAGCGAGGACGCACCAACAAGAGGCACAAGAGGTCGGGGAGGAGCGAGGACGCACCAACAAGAGGGAGAAGAGGTCGGGGAGGAGCGAGGACGCACCAACAAGAGGCACAAGAGGTCGGGGAGGAGCGAGGACGCTCCAACAAGAGGGAGAAGAGGTCGGGGAGGAGCGAGGACGCACCAACAAGAGGCACAAGAGGTCGGGGAGGAGCGAGGACGCACCAACAAGAGGCACAAGAGGCCGGGGAGGGGCGAGGACGCACCAACAAGAGGCACAAGAGGCCGGGGAGGAGCGAGGACGCATCAACAAGAGCAAGAAGAGGTCGGGGAGGAGCGAGGACGCACCAACAAGAGGCACAAGAGGCCGGGGAGGAGCGAGGACGCACCAACAAGAGGCACAAGAGGTCGGGGAGGACCGAGGACGCACCAACAAGAGGCACAAGAGGCCGGGGAGGAGCGAGGACGCACCAACAAGAGGCACAAGAGGTCGGGGAGGAGCGAGGACGCACCAACAAGAGGCACAAGAGGCCGGGGAGGAGCGAGGACGCACCAACAGGAGCGACGCTGAGGACAATGAGCTCAACACCAGTTAAGATTACGGACTCAATTACCCACCAAGAACAAAGGACAATGATGCTAGGACGACCCAGCTCAATTACTGCCAAGTGTGAGTGTGTAGAGGTGAGAGGTGAGAGATGAGAGGTGAGGGGTGAGAGATGAGAGATGAGGGGTGATGAATGAGGGTTGAGGGGTGATGAATGAGGGGTGAGGGGTGATGAATGAGGGTGAGGGGTGACTGGCGTGAAGTGGTGAGGGCTCTAGCTCCCCCTCCCCAGCGTTCAGAAAATCAATAAACTCATATACTAAATAACCCGAACCTAACCTAACCGAGGACCCATAAATAGCAAATGGGGCATTACCTCCATTTTGCTAGCCGCCATAATTTTGAATACAGCAGTTTAGGCCTTAAGGGATTTATATGTCAAAATGCGTTGTAGTATTCACGAGGACGAGTTGAGTGGTGAGGACTGAGGGACTCGCGTGAGAGGTGAGGGTGAGGGATTAGGGGTTGTGTCTAAGGTGAGAGAAGGAAGTGTCGTGTAGGTAAGGGATGGTATTGTAAAGTCCAGCAATAGCTTCTTTCTGTAAACTTGCCAATGAAACCCATGATCCCCTCTGGAGAACCAGTAATTAACTCCCCTCTGGAGAACCAGTAATTAACTCCCCTCTGGAGAACCAGTAATTAGCTCCCCTCTAGAGAACCACCAATCAGCTCCCCTCTGGAGAACCACCAATTAACTCCCCTCTGAACTGTAATAAATAAACTCTCACCCAACATGTCTTTAAAGTTTCAGGACTGACATAAGAGAGTCTTCCTTAAATACTTAACTTCCTTCCTTAAACTTCAAAGTGTTTTTTTTTTTTTACAAAAGCACATGACATCCCTACCGGGAATACATAACAAATTGAACTGTAAAAATATCCAATGTTAAACAAAAATACCTGGTTGATACCTGGTTGATACCTGGTTGATGGGGTTCTGGGAGTTCTTCTACTCCCGAAGCCCGGCCCGAGGCCAGGCTCGACTTGTGAGAGTTTGGTCCACCAGGCTGTTGCTTGGAGCGGCCCGCAGGCCCACATACCCACCACAGCCCGGTAGGTCCGACACTCCTTGGAGGAATAAATCTAGTTTCCTCTTGAAGATGTCCACGGTTGTTCCGGCAATATTTCATATGCTCGCTGGGAGGACGTTGAACAACCGCGGACCTCTGATGTTTATACAGTGTTCTCTGATTGTGCCTATGGCACCTCTGCTCTTCACTGGTTCTATTCTGCATTTTCTTCCATATCGTTCACTCCAGTAATAAACTCCCCTAAACTAAAATAAATAAACTCCCCTCAGTAATTTCAACAATATATTCCCACAGTATTGCCATCATTTAGACCCCAATAATCAGCGGAATCTGAAACTTTAATCGGTGTTAAACTGCAATTCCAGGACACGTTATCTTGAGATGATTTCGGGGCTTTAGTGTCCCCGCGGTCCGGTCCTCGACCAGGCCTCTACCCCCAAGAAGCAGCCCGTGACAGCTGACTAACACCCAGGTACCTATTTTATTGCTAGGTAACAGGGGCATAGGGTGAAAGAAACTCTGCCCATTGTTTCTCGCCGGCGCCTGGGATCGAACCCAGGACCACAGGATCACAAGTCCAGCGTGCTGTCCGCTTGGCCGACCGGCACGTGTGTATCATTAAGATACAAATCCTTCACCAACGCTTCGATATCGCGGAGAACCCGCAAAATATCGCTGGATGGGACGGTGTTATTGAAGGCTTGCAGTCTCCGGCCGTTGTTGCAATATATCTCTCTTGTTGACACCCTTCCAGCGGTTACCTCCACCCTGCTCGTGCAAGGATTAGGGAGGCCACAACGGCAGTCTGATTTACTGATACCATCCCACAGTGAGAAGCCTGGCTATGCACTGGGGGAAATTCTTGCATTAGTTTATTTGGGAAGATGTGTTGACCGATTGCTGCATAGAGTGATTACTGCATAGACTGAGTGCATCATATACTGACTGCTGTAAAGACTGAGTGAATCATTTATTGATTGTAAGGTAGTTTATCTACTTGGTCTACTGTTCACTGATAGCTACATAGACAAGTTGATTTTACAAAAATAGTGAGTAAATACACTGGTGTGTTGACACCAGTGGCTACTAAGTAGATAGTCTGAGTAAAGTAGGCTACTGAGTAGATAGTCTGAGTAGAGTAGGCTACTGAGTAGATAGTCTGAGTAGAGTAGGCTACTGAGTAGATAGGCTGGTGCCCCACACAGCGATGAGCGCCCCAACATTTCCCTAAACCATCTAAGTCAAGGTTGTAAATTACTAGTCTAGTTATGTGCTTTTAATAAATACACAAATGAATACTGTAGATAGATAAATAGAGAAGCAGACTGGCGGAGACTCGAGTACATACATGCACAATACACATATTCGTACATACAAATATACATAGAAGAGCTTTAATAATTTTTTCTTAAACCAAGAAAGAAAACGACGCTGTAAATGTTACACAGTCTTTCAATAATATTATAGAACGGGCTGCAATATGTCTGGTGCGGCTTTTGTGATATTCTCTTCTACGGAGATTTATCTGGGAGCCGATCCACTAAATTACTCTTGTGAGGAGCCGGAGCGGTGAGCCGGTGGACCACCTTCCCTGTCATGGCTGCCACTACCGCAATATTTACCACAACACTTCCCCACACTCACGACCTCACCACATAACACGCTCAGAGTCCATTTAAAAGAATGAAGAACAATTTTGATTTATATAACTTCTCAGCTGCATCACTTATGAACCCATCCCTGTTGACCAGACCACACACTAGAAGGTGAAGGGACGACGACGTTTCGGTCCGTCGTGGACCGTTATCAAGTCGATTGTGGCCATTATCACAATCACCTTCATGTGGTCCAGGAGGGACAGAAACGTTGTCTCCTCATCTCCTGGTCTCCTCATCATATCTTCAGCCACGTTATTGTGACTCATCGTCTCCTGAAGCTCATCTACTTAGTGGTAAAGATTAAGTTTTTATCTATAGTGTATTATTTCCCTAGGCGGCGGAGTTCATATATATATTTATATGCATATATTGCCTCCGTATTTTATATCCCATCAACCTGGAATATGTAAGTTATAGCCCGCGACCAGGCGCAGGACTCGAGAAACAGCTACAGGTAATTGTAAAAAAATATTAAACTAAATATTTTCACGTTAGGAACCAGTACATCCTTCACTCTTCCATCTCAACTCCTTCGGACAGCTTCCCTCCTTCTCAACGCCCTCCTTCCACTTTCATCAATTTCTCCTCTCATTCTCTCTTCCGCATATGAGATGTGAGGAGCAGGAGCCTGCTGCTGTAGGCGACTTACTCCCACAACTACCCGTACAGCACAATGGTGAGCCAGATAGCATCATCTGGCGCGCCGGATGCTGCCTGCTGGCCTGATGT